AGGAATTGTCGTCACTGCAGGCAATACTGGGTATGCGATTCACTTTCCCGCCAATAGTTCGCCTCCAACTCAAACTCCCTAACTAGGAGAAACAATTATTTCGCTCTACAAACAGTAATTTCAAAGCACGGTCAACTCAGTCAATTGGGGAAGATTCGTGCGACAATCCATATCAAAGTATCGTCATCCTCCTGCCTGGCACCTTACCATGGAGACAGGGTAGCATTCTCAAATTCACCATTCACCAGACCAAGGGTAGCGTTGAACGAGTCGTCCCAATGGACGCCGACAATTGGGTCACCGTAAAGCCCAACAGAGCTCTGTACGCCCAAGAGGTGGAAATAAGCTGCTTCAAGGAGCGACTTCGTCTCTTGGCAAGCAATGGTATCGACGTTACAGGATTGGAGCACTTGGAGATGTCAGGAGAGGTTGGAGCCAACAACTACCTTCCAATTGCCACCTATACATCTGGATTCGGCTACGAGGTGAACACAATGGTGAGCGAAAAGCAACTAATCTCATTAATGCACTGATTTACTTACAGACACCTACCTACGTGCAACTCTCTTGCAGAACATTGATAGCTCAGCAAAATTGAACAAGGAATCAAACTACCATTTTCCTTCACTAACATTGACCACCATAGCCTACCATTTGCACAACTTCCACGGGTTCCGCTGCCGAATGAAATTTCGCAACGAACAAATCCCCGAATATGAAGTAGTGAACAGTGGGTCGGTATGCTTTATGCGTCAGCCACCACCAATCGAGATGACCGTGGACAACATCAGTGTCCCTATGGTGGAGGACACAACGCAAGAGTCAATTCCTCAAAATCGCAATCTGCAAATCTTTCAGACTTCGTGCGTCAAACCGGAAACACGACTAGTCTTTACATGCAGCCAGTGGCGCGAGATGGAGACGTGTGACGATGCCCACACCGTTGACAGTGTGTACAATGTGGACACCGATTTGATAATTTACAATGCAAAAAGGCTAGAATACGTAATAAAAAAACCGGTGTTCGATCGCCTGGGTAGGGGACGAGTTGACATTCCAACGGTTCCGCATGAGTGGCACACTGCTGAGGTTGTCTGCCATCGAACAATACGTCGGACAGACAACATTTCACACATCATTTTGGATCAGTACTCCTCTGCCGTGAGAATATGCGTGAGCCAGACAACATTCACCTTCTACCTAGCCCATACGGGATTCGAGTGGAGCACAGGACTGACCATGTCGCTGGATGACATGATAAATATGGGTGCCGTCACGAAGATGGAGATGGGCGACGAAATGAATGACGTCGACGTGGGCTCAGCCGTCATTTGTCAAGTGACGGGTGATGGTGGTCGTGTCAATGAGACGATAATAAAGCAACGAAATGTGGAGCCGGAGAACGACATCGAGACAGTGAGAATAGTTGGCTACGAAAACGCTTCAATCGCAATGCTAATGAATGCAGACGTCGACAAAAAAATCACCTTTTTAGCACTTTTTTGTCAAACAAAAAGACTGGAGTCACAAATAATTGAGAGGTCAGAGGTGAGTTAGGAGTTATACATAAGCATTCAAATCCAGGTGTTGTGGTTGGCAGTTCATGAGGCCGTTCTAAAGGATGAAGGATTCAAGGAAGTGAATGATCTTATTCTCTACATACTATTGACAGTATGCGCCAGTCTTCTGATAGCAGTCTCCTGTCCACTCATCGCTAGGTTGAGTCAGAGAAGACAAAACCGCCAAAGAGCCAGGTACCGCAAAGCTGTCGCCAGAAGGTTGAAGCGTCTTAACTACCTCAGGGAGGTGAGCTCTATCTACCAACTTTAAAAGCTTCACAAAAATGTTTGATAGGTAAAAAAGGGTACTTTTGAGATTCTCCTTTCTGTTTGCAGATCGGTATGCACAAAGTCGACGTAAATGGAGAGTTTGCTCGAGAACTAAGTCCCAAAACAAACATTTTCACTCGTGAACATGGGAAAAAGGATTTCAAAGGAAAGGACTTCGGGCCCCCTCCAGCGGCATCTCAGAATGCAGTACAAATCACTAATACGATCCACGTTTAGAAAAATAATATGTAGTTTAATCTGTGATTAATCTCGGCCATATTTATCTTTTGTTGAGGAGGAGATAGAGCAAAGGAGGGAAAGATACAAGCAAAGAACGTTGAAAGGCATACGAAGAGAAAAGGAAATTACTAACAGTCGTGGTATCCAACTAACCAGCCAAAATGTCGTTACGAATCTCCTTGAGTGATCCAATGGTAAAGCAGTACAGCATGCACACCACCTTAATGCTGTTTGGCAAATTCTCTGGTCCGGGTGTGCCACTATCTCGAGGCCAATGATGACGGTACTTCAGAGGTGCACCTGCACCACCACAACAGCCACCTGCCAAATCGCCCTTCCGTAAGGGTGTACGGTTCTTGAGTTGACGTAAGAAGGTACTCAAGCCTAGACGATCGGAAAAACCCCTTCCATAATGTCGGGATACAAAACTGGGTGGATTGGTAGGCAGAAGACCTTCTATAGCCTTTCGTTCGCCAACTGTATAGTCAGTTAATTTGAACCGAGGTGACTTCGCAATACCAACGGAGGTGGAGGGAAACGGTGGTGCGTTTGCTTGTTCGCTTTGGCCTAGGCCCTCTTGCTGGTAGAGGTCAGCAAATAAAAGCCGTACCATTCGACCATGCCACAGAAGACGCAATTGGCTTGCCACATGAGGTGCAGAAGCTTGAAGACTAGAACAACCAACAGAGAAAGACACTGCAATTGCACTATGCTAGCTGGGAGATGAGAAGTGAATCGAACTTCTTACTAGTTGTCTAGAGGTTTGGAAAACCAACCCAAAATTGGGTGCCAGCATGTGAGATTTGACTTCTTCTGTCCAACATATCCACCCAGAAGATCAAGCAATCGTGACAGGACAATCTAGAAAAAAGGAGTCGCTTTGAGGTTATCGTAACAGCGGCTGCCTTATGATGCCTACGCTTTTTTGAATCCAACAGAAATAGCGTTCAAGTACGCAAAAAGGAACATCGCATGATATGCAAGGAGGAGTGCAAAGGAGGACCTCTGCGCGGACAGTAAGGTTAGAGAATGAAGACATACAC